GATTAACAAATAAGCATTCCCTTCTCAGCATCTCTAATACATCGCGAAGATGATCAAAGTGTGAGGCCCGCGTCGGACTACAAATGAGGATATTGTCGAAGTAAACCGAGATGAATTTTCCCATAAAGGGTCGTAAGACCTAGTGCATAAACCGTATGAATGTACTGGGAGCATTGGATAGCCCAAAAGGCAAGACCTACTCATATAAATCGTGTTGCATTTTAAAAGCTGTCTTCCATTTATCTCCAAACCTTATTCTGATCTGGTATTATCCACTTTTCAGGTCAATCTTTGAAAATATCGTAGAGTCGGATAGTTAATCCAACATATCATCCAGTCAAGGAATCAAAAACCTGTACTTCACAATAAATTTGTTCATTGCTCGACTGTCAACACACATACTCCAAGAACCATCTTTCTTCGGCACAAGTAATGCAGGGACTGCACAATGGCTAATAATTTAGCGAATATAAACCCTCTCCAATAGCTCCACCACTTATTGCTGTAACTCTACAACCTCTTTGGGACTGAGGTAGTATGCTGGTCGATTAGGCAAGCTCGATCTTGGAACAAGATCAATCTAATGCTGAATATCCCTTATAGGCGGTAGTCCAGGAGGAAGGTCCTCTAGCATAAGGTCAGCGACTAGTAGTTGCTGCACCTCTGCTGGTAACTCAGACTCCACTAACATTACTGCACTATCTCCGCAAGGCAGTGGAGTATATACCTCATCCCCATGCTCAACCTCTTGTAAAAACCTGGACATAGAAAGTAGATTAGTGTTGTTAACTACCGGAGTAGGAGATTGCCCTTCATGCCGGGGTGCCAACTTAGTCCTTTTCCCCTTGATGCTAAGGGAGTATATATTCTTCCGTCCATCATGAAAAAAATTGCGATCATACTGCCAAGGTCAACCCAACTATACATGACATGCATCCATTGACACAACATCACACCACTCATTATCAAAATATTTGCTACCAATTGAAAAGGAGCCGAGACATCGCCTATCTACGGTTACCTCACTGCCCTTATTCAGCCACGACAACTTGTATGGTTTGGGATAC